GAAAAGGCATAAATGTCAAATGAAAGCAAATTTTAAATTACATAGGTAATCTCTATCATAATAACTACTATCCCAACAAATTTAATAAACTTTTTTTAGAATCTTACGATTCTAAAATTACGATTCTACGACTCGCGATTCTAGTTAGAATCCCGACTTATGTGAGATTGAAATGTTAGATTGTTATTATTGACGTCAGGAAAAAGTAAAAGGGATCTAGTAGGGTTGGGATTTCGTGAGATAAGAAGGGTTTATCATTACTACAACGAAAATATACCTTTGTGTAGGCATGTCCACGGTTTCGGAACAGGTAGTATCGATTCTAGAACCGCCGGTTCTAAAATCACAATGATGGAAACCGAAACCGAACCTAGAGACAACGGTTCCGGTTTTAGTTTTGAAACCAAAGGTTTTAGTTTGGTTACGGTTCAGTCTCGGTTCTGACATGTGACGATTTTCATGTGAGTTTTATGTTAGGTTTAAATCAAAAGTTAGATTCTCATTTAGATTCAATTTGGTGGCAGATTTCATGCAGTTTTATGAAAACTTTTATAATTTTAAATTATTACGACATTTGTTTTATGAAATACCTTGTAAAAAGTAAAGAGTTAAATTAAAGTACAAACGTATGAAGGTTTTTTTCGGGAACACTTGTCAACTTAGTATAGTATCACTATTTCTCTTCTTGGATTATTCTTTTAATTAATACCAATAAATAATCAATGCTTCTAGAATTATACACGAAATAAGTCAAGCATTATTCATATCATAATCATTTTTTTAATAAAATTAGTGTTAAGCGATAGTTTAATTGCTAGTTAGAACTGCCAGTTCTCGGTTTTATAAATACTAGAACCGTAATCAAACTATCATCATGTGACTCTATTATGGTTCTTAAAATCGTCAATTACGGTTTTAGTTATAGAATCGTAATCGTCGGTTCGGTTTCGGTTAGAACCAGAACCGTGGACTTGCTTACTTTTGTCAAAGTCTATCTTTGTATATCAAAAGTGAAATTTCTTAAACATGGTACCTAAAGAGAAAATAAGTATATTCGTGGGTGATGACCATACTGAAGTACTCATATGCCCATCGTAAATAGGAAACGGTAAAAATTCTCTAAATTAAGACCCTATAAATTAATATACTCCATTAAATAATAAATCTTTTCGGTCCGAATTTGGGTCTAGTATAAAAATAAAACCAAATATATAAATTAACAAGATAATACATTTTGTAAAAAATTTCTATACAAATATAGGTCCCTCAAAATTATAAATTGAGAATGATCAAAAATACCAACAAATATCTATGAAGATTTAGAAAAGTATAGAGACTACTGACTTTTTTCCCCTTGAAATTTACATTTAACAAGATTTTCATCTTTGATCGTTATGTTCAAAACCTGTGGAGTTATATAAAAATTAAGAAACTCGGGTTATTTTTTCTAATAGAATTTAAAAAATCTTTTATAACTTACTAATTATTGATAAAATTATAATTATTAATTTATCAAAAAAAATATTAATCTCTATGACTTAATAAATTTTATGGGTACAACAGTATTAATTTAAAGAACTTTTATTATATATCACCCAAAAAACTAGTTTTTGATAAGAGTAATTGTGATTGAATGGTAGGAACTATTTAATTTTTAATCATCATAAGTTAGAGAAGTTGAGTGTCCAAATTTCATCATAGCCATACAATAGTATTTTATTATGCAATTCTATTGAAAAATAGAATTCAAATAGCACTTCTCTTTTGTACTATTTTACGACACATTGATTTCTACGTAAAGGTTAAACTACATGCATCCAATAATATACTCCCTCCGTTCCATAATTATTGTCCAGTTTGAGTTTTCATTTCTAGTTCAAAATGAACTAAAAGTGAATTCTCAAATTGGATAATAATTTTAGGACAGATGAAGTACTTGTTTTATGCCGTTAGAAAATCGACTTCGTACTATTTAAATTCCATCAATTATCTACTTGGTTTGCATTACTTGTTAGAATTGAACTCCGACCACTTAAATCTAAAGAGATAAATGCAGATGATGGCTATCAACCTACTTTTAATTATTTACTCTATTTGTACTGTTAGTGAGAATTTGCTTCAGTTATTTACTTGGCTAACACCATTTAGAACCTAAATTTATACCAAGTTCTAAATGTCAATACATATGAGATTACATGTTTGATCCAACTATCTCTGTCCAATATCATTTTGACTTGCACTGTTGGTGAGAATTGAACAACCTGATTTTGGCGACATGTGCTTTGTTATTGTGCAAAACTTTTAATTGGACAACTCTTTTATTTTTAAAACTCTTTTTTGGGGGAATGGGGGCGTAAATTTCGATTTCTGATCTTTAATTGTTATACAAAAGATTTCACTGGAGCTGTAATCTGTATATCTCTGTATTATTATACATATTAAAGGAAAGTTTTGAATCGGACACATAGCATAAAATTAGATATGGTAATTCACATGGCAAAAAATTAAATAGTCACACATGTCACAATCACATCACTCCATCGTTTAATGGTAATCTTTTATTTGTAAATACGTAAATCACCTAGTTAATCAAGAGCAAGTTAACCAATTTATAGTTTATTACATCACAATCCTATTTCCGTCATCCCTAAAAATATAAACATTGAATTACTAAGAAATTTATTTTTTTAGCACAAATTTATAACTCACCATTTATGTAAACTTTGGTTATTGATAGTTATAATTATATATGATCAATAAAAATTCCCAACATGTTAACATGTTCAAAATCCAACCAATTAATAATCATTTCGTAGACCACATTTATCGATGAATTTCACTTAATAAAAAAATTCAATTGGCCTTTTCCAAAATACAACCAGTGCAATTCTAATCTCACCTTATCAATTTTTGAAAGAAGAAATATAACTATTCAATTTTTTTTTATTGAATAAATTATGTAAAATTTTGAACTTTTACCTTTCAAAATGCCTCTAACTCGTGATAGGTTCTCCCACCGTGCAACGGATGTCATAGATTATAAAGCCATTATCCTTCTTTCTTGAACATTAGGAGTGTTTTTACCCACTGTCTATTATCTGTTAAATCGTAAATAGGAGAACATTATTTTTCAGAATTAACTAGATTCTTTCCCGTGCGTTGCACGAAATATATTAAAATATATTATTAAAATAATTATTAGTTGTGAAGAAAATACTACGTACTCGATTATGGTTGATTATGAAATAGAATCTAAAGAAAAACAGATGATACAAAGAATAAGTGAACAGTAAAAAATGAAGTAAAAAAAGATGGTGTGAAAATTAAGTGGTATTAATACGATTATAATTTAAATTTCTTTAAGCTTAAATGCAAGAAAAATGTTTTACTTAAATTTTTTCTCGTAATTTTATCTTTTAGATTTCAACGTTTTTGTAATAAGATGGATATTACAATAATTTAATTTGGATATAAGAAAAATGGAAATGTTAACAAAATATCAAAAATTACAGAGGAATGAGTTTTGTTTCAGTAAACCAATTTCAATGTTGTTTAAGAGATCATTCAAAATTAATGCATTTTAATGGTATGATTCTGATTGTTTTATTTTTTTATTTGGTCAAAGATTTCATTAATTTCCGGACAAGCAAAAGGAAAATCAATCATATTTTTTCCTTATAAGGAAATGGAAAGTTTCAGTATAATTAAGTGGGAGCCAATTAGTTTTATTTTTTTTTAACAAAACAACGTCATTTTGGTTGGGTGGGAAACGATGCATGAGATCACGACACGTAAGCTTTTTTTTTCTTCTCTTGTACTGTTGTTTTAATAGGATATATCGAATTCAAGATAAATAGTGAGATCGTGAGAGCGTGATTGATGTGTAGTAAGATAATTGTTTTCATATATTTAGCGTTTGATGTGAAACTAATTTTTCCATATATTTAGGAAGTGGTAACTGTGCTGAATACATATATAATGATAATAATAGAAGTTTTAGGCGCTCTTCATATATAACAAATCTTTTCGGATATTGACCAGGACTGTGGCCGTTGATAATGGTGAAGGTTGATAAGCGAAGGAAAAAAAGACATTGGCGAATCTTCTAAAGAGTTTTTGAAGTCGACATCTTGCTTCTCCCTCAGTTTTATGTTTTCCCTTTGGCTTCTGCCAAGATATCAATATGTGTCTTTGCAAAAGACTATTCTAGCCAATCAAACAAAGTGCTTATTGATTAGAACATATGAAGAGTGAAGAAGTACCGAATTTATATCTAGCAAGGATTTCTAATTTTTTATTATTATCATCAATTATTACTAATTGTGATGCTACTGTTCATAATCAATTGGCTGGGATGGAAAAGTTCCGCACGGTTCCCTTTACTTTTCCTTCCTTTATTTATTATTTTCAAATAAGACAAGTTTAAAAAAAAGAAAATGATAAGAAATAAGTATTTTTGAATTAATTTATGCCTTAGATTGAATGAGAATTTTTAATTGAACACATGTTATTAGAAATAATAAAATTCTATAATATTCTTTAAAATTTATATATAAATGTTATTATTTTATATATAAAAAATGTAACCCTTAGAAATAAATGTAATTATTTTTAAAAATAGTAAAGTACTCCCTCCATTCCAAAATAAGTGTCGTTTTAGTAAAATGGAGAAATTCCAAAATAAGTGTCGTTCTCACATTTCAATGCACTTTTTGTCAAAAGTTTTCAAAATTACCCTCAAAAGAGTTGGATGCTATTGGTAGAAAATTTTATAATGGGGTTGGTTGAGAATATTCAAGTAATTTTATTATCCTATTTAAGAGTTTCTTAAACTATTTACAAATTGTAGGACGACACTTATTTTGGAATAGAAAGAGTATTAATAATAGGAGAGATGTGCGGTAATAATCGTGAGATAGTTATTGATCCAAAATTATATGAGTGTAATAGAAAACTGACATGAGAGTGCAAAATTGTATAATGTGACGGTTGGGAGATGACATGAATCCACAAGCAAATTAGAAAAAATAGTACAACTTGAAACCTACGTGGCGCCAGGTTGGCTTAAGATCTAACCGTTGGATACAAAATCATATGATCGAATGGCGAAAACCGGACCGCCGGAGGATGCCAGCACGTGGAAACCGACAACATCCACGAGCAATCCGAATTCTCCAATGGAATCGGTTCCATAGCCATCAAAATGGAATTTGATTGAAATCATACTTCATCCCAATTTTTCTTTGACTTCCAATCCAATCCATTCATCTCTTACCCTCTTGCTTCAGGAACAATCAAGAAGATAATGGAGGCCCTGGTTGGTGCCGGCACAGCCCGATCATTTCCAGTTCCCGGCGGTCCTGGGACCGGAATCGATTGTAACTCCAAGAGGAATATCCGGGCTTCTGTTGGATTCCGAAGAGAGCCCTTTTCCAAGAGGAAATCGAGTTTAACTTCAGGAGTTTCCAGCTGGGATTACTTTAAGGAGAGGGATCATTTAGACTATTACTCTAATTCAGCTGGAAGAAGAAGAAGAAGAGAAAGATGTGGGGATACGGTGATGACGGTTTCGTGTGGGAAAGGCGGTGATTGTAAGGTTGCGGAGAAGGAGAAGGAGAAGAATAAGAAGGATAAGAAGCAGAAGAAGATGATGATGAAGATGGAGAAGAGGTTGAAGAAGATGGTGCAGAAACAGATTGTTCAAGGAGGCGTTGATTTGTCGATTTCTCCTGAGATATCTGATCAGATTAATCCCTTCCCAGATGAATCCAAAGTCTCCATGATGATCTCTGTAAGTCCCTGTTTATTGTGATGAACTCAAATTATGATATGTACTTGGATGTTTAGTATTTCCTTTGGTTTTCTCAGGTAAAGATAGCTTTTTTTTTTTTTTTTTTTTGCATTATCTGGTATTTTTGCATCTTGAATGGACAAAATTCTATGAATACTTTAGAAATTGCAGTTATTGAAGAAATAAGTGGTTGTGGATACGGAAAATTTCCATTCAGAGTGTAAAAATTTATTTGCCCTTTTTTTAAAATGAGAATATGTACTTGTGTGTCCAAACTGGATTTTAGCTATCCTTGAAGGATTAGTTCATTAATTCGTTCATATGTTAATGGTCATTCTACTTGCAGGATGCGGCTGAGAAATTGCTGGAACAGCTTCTGCTGACAAGGGCAGAGGAGATGACTTCTGAATCATCATCATCCTCTTCTTCTTCAGAATCAAGTGATAGCGATTCTGATTGCGGAGCAGGAGTTGTGACTGACATGAGAAAACGGAAAAATTGTTCAACTTCAGTTGCCACAGAGCCTGTAAAATCTGTTGAAGTGGCATGCTTACCGAATGGAGTTATGATGGAATCACCTACTAGTAGTCTTTCAGCAGAAACAGCTGGTTTATTATCTGTCCCAGTACTTGCGGATGAGTGCACCACTCTACTGGAGCATAATTTAGAACAACAGAGCGAATACATAATGAGTAGCTCTCCGGTAGCCCTAACTACTGGATTGCTGCCACCTTCGACCAAGAAAGTCGAGGTGTGTATGGGTGGTAAATGCAAGAAAGCAGGTTCTGTGGCACTGTTAGGAGAGTTCCAGAGGCTGCTTGGAACCACTGAAAATGCAGCTGTATCAGGATGCAAATGCATGGGGAAATGCCGGGATGGCCCTAATGTTAGAATCTCGGATGATCTTAACATGAATGCCTTGTGCATTGGCATTGGCTTGACTGATGTGAATATGATTGTGGAGAATTACATTGCTACGAATCCTGAATTTGGCCTCAATTATGCTTGATGCTGATCTTGTATCTTTGTCACCAGCTTTTTCATGTAGCCTTGACGTTGCATTACTATTGGTTATTGTGCGTCATTGGAGGCTGGTACATGTAAGATAAGACTGGGATTATTTGTTGCTGATATTTGGCAGGCAAACCATCATATGGGTTGCATAGTATTGTTTAGTATGTACAAAGATCTATAGGCTCGTTTAATCTATAAAGTTAGAATTAGAAAGCCTCAGGGGAGGTCATGAAACAGACCAAGAGAGAGAGGCCTTGTATTATTGTGTACTCCTTACTCTGGTGTTGAATCAAGTTTGTAGTCTTTTGCTCTTCTAAAGCTGCTTACTCCTTTACACTGGCCCTTTTGGTCTACATTATTAATTCACTTTTTACATGGATTTTATTGATGGTGAGCTCCCTGCAGTCTGCATTCTCTCAATTCAGAATGGACAAACTAATACAACATCTGAGATGGGACGTCGATAAATCGAGAAGCTTTGAAATTCATCCAGGAGACGCGGACTCTGTTAATACACTTAGATTACTGTATGATTGGGGTACATTTCAATCAACCCAGGATCAGAATGCGGTAGGCATTAATACTTCATTGGCCTTGTAATGACTGCAGAACTGAAAGTTACCATTTCTAGCGCATTCCGGGAGTTCCCAACTTGCGGTGAACCAGTTAGAACCCGAAGCAGTGTTTCCACTTTGGATCTTCAAATTTTGGATTAATAAGGAAAGAACAATAAACAAGTTTTTGAGATTCATTAATCTCTGGGGAATTGCTTTGGCAAAGTTTAAACAATGTACTTTTGTGGTTACAATCGCTCACGTTTACTTTGTAAAATGATCAATTACAATTTACTGCATGCGCTGTAAACAGTTTTGTTTTACCAAAAAACAAAAAATAATAAATAAATAAAAGTAAAGGTAGTTTGCAAAAATAATTGGGCCAACCTAGCTTCCATAGTCTACTTTCGAGAAACTCTGGTCCAAAGTCTATTAATTTGGACAAAAGGTGAATCAAAGCAGCCCAATTATAATTTTTCTAGATTTTCAATTATATTATGTACTTCTATATTGAGGTGAGATTGTTAAAACTTAAAAGTGGCAAGGATAATTCTAATTTGTATTGGATAGTAACGATTTTGACCATGAAGAAATCCTATGAAATGTCTGTATTTTAGAAGGTGAGACCCAATGTGTGCTACCAATGTTATCTACTTAACGTGGGCCTTAATCACCATCGAAAAATTTGTGGTGCTAATGAAGTAAACTATGACTATGAACTGGCTTTTCTTAAGGAACTTCGATGCAGCTTGGACCTTTTTTTAAAAAAAAAGAAAAATAAGAGTTAATTGTTTGAAAAGTATGCAAAAACGTTTTATGTTTGTGTGTGTTTTTAGATGTTTTTTATATTAGGAATGTTAAAAGTTATATTAAAAATATAAAAAAATCTGTTGGGATGAGACAATTATTAATAAATTAATTTGACAACACCATGAAAAGAATGAAACAGAGACATCGTTAAAACTGGAATGATACAGGAGTTTGAACATTATTTTTGCAGTAATTTACAAGGCTTTATCTCATGCCAATAATCGTTCTAGCCGGCTACCAAATAACCAGGGTATTTAAGGTAGCTGGCTAGCTGGCCAAGGCGAAATGAAAGAGTTCAGTGATTATGAATTAGGAAGAAAAAATGAGATCAAGAATGTTGAAAAAAAAAAGCAATAAATAATTCAACATTAAGTTATCAATTATAGTGGATAAATGGCAAGAGCAAGATCATAAACAACCTGATTATAGCATCAACTTTTCAGCTGCAAGTTTGATTCTTGATCCCTAGTTCTCATACATCAATTTGCATTGTCTGGAATATGAACTCAGATACGAACCCACGTGAATTGTTTTAGTTTACGACCAAATCAAATAAAAAGTATTTTGTTTGTTTATTTGTAACCTGTTTGAGTTAAAATTGTATTTGATAGCGAAGACCGACTCGGCTCAAACTAATTTCAAATAATTGTGTGATATTCTCGAAATTCGGAGTCCAATCACTAAAATTGCTTAAAAATGTCAACGCCTTCGACTCGTAAAAGATTGAAAGTTCAAGTGTTCGATAACGAAATAATGAAGAATTTTAAAAGGACGAATAAAACGGCCAATCAAGATCAGTTTTATTAGATTAATGAGAAACAGATCGGTTGTGAATAGCCTGAAACGTCAAAACTTACAAGAATTAACACTGAAAAGTAAAAGAATACATGAAAGGTTAAAAGGGAAATAAACGATAAAAGTTATAAAGGATAAACTCATGTGGACCAGATTTGTCAAAATCGGTATAACAAACCTACAAAAATTAAGGATCTATTAGTTAATTAACTAATTCCATGTGAACTCTGATGAAAAAAGGTACATAACAAACGGGAGCAGTTTCAGTTAATTAGCTAATATGTAATGTGAAATCACGAAATCTCGTGGTAATAAGTTAGTTCTAATTAGGTCCCTAATTTGTTCATGTCATGGCACGATATTGTCACATGCGCTGTTGACATTTGATTCCTAATCTTGTAAATTAAAAAAGTTGTGGTTATGAAAATGCATTCATCCATTTTACTATGACGATTAGGATTCAAATCTTGACATGCATGCATAGATACAGATTGATCCACAAATTAAATCAGTATTTCATCTTCTTTATATAAAGGCCGTCTTCTTTTTCTAAAAAATAAAAATAAATAAAAATCCGTACATGTTGTCGTTTGCCCGGTTATTTGCTTCAGATGAAATAAATTGATTTGAACTACATCTACATGGGAATTAATGGGATTAAAGTGCTATATGGAGTAGCTTCGTGAGCAAACAAAATCATGTTCAAGAGATTGTGTGCATTGAACAGTCCAAATAACAGTAAAATTCTGGTCAACTTGCTGACATAAGTATTTATCTTCTATGCGCTCCAATTAACACGTACAGAATATATGGAGTAAATGATTTTCTTTCGGTCTCAAAATAAGATTTTTAGTTATTGTAATGTACTTTTATGATATTGATTTTTTTGATACGGAAGAAGTACTATTTAACATAAACCATATCTCGGTTCAATCATAGCCCTGATCAATTCAAATGGGATAGAGCATAATAATTTTACCTACATTACCTAATGAAATTTCATAAATTTACTTAGATACGTGACCTTGTTTTTCTTTTCCTTTTTCCTTCTTTTTTTTTTCCAAAAAAACTAGCTAGCTATATGTATTTGGTTTAGAGGAAATAATTCAGCTAACAAACTTCCATAAGTCAGTTTGACATTCCTCATTTCATAGTAAACATAACTTAATTAGAAAAATGAACTAACCATTTTGCCCTATAATCTTCCAGAAGTTTGGATAATTCCTATAACAGATAATAGTTGGCGGTAAAAGTTTAATGGGTTACACGTACTTTACCATTAAAAATTCAGAAATTAGAATTAGGATTATAGCATCAGGTACATAGTTACCTACCCTAAAACTCACCCTCCTTTTCCCCATGTCCAAGAAAACAAATTAACTTGCACTTCTCTCCAACCGTGAAATGTTGTTGCTTTAATAACTAACTAGATGCTTGTCCCGGGCAAATGCCCGGGAGCGTCTTTCCACCTAATAAATTGATATGTAAATAATCAAAACTGATTAAGAATAAATTTAGTTTTTGATGAAGATAATTGATTGACCGAAAATTAATTTTTTTGAAAGTCCTAAATAAGTGGAGAAAGAAAGTTCTATTCACTGTCAAATTCAAAATTTAAATGAACATGGCCATCTAATCTCTTCGTTAATATTGTAAATATATTTTTTGTTTTTAAAAGGAGGTGACACGTAGCAGAATAGTTTATGAAATATGGTACATTTGAGCCAAAACATTTTAATACAAAATTGCCACATCAGCATCCTGTTTTCTGCTTTAATAGGGTAAAAGGGATACCTGAATTTTCGAATCAAACCATCAACAAAAATTCAGATCTTAGTTTAATTTGAACTCCCGCTTTGGAAAATTACAAAAGTTACAAATTTTATTTTTATTGTATCTTAATTATCTATTCTTCCTTATTAAATTAGCTTCATGTGATTCATCTCTTGGGTAAAACTTAGTACAACCTCCGAAAAATACAATTGTTTTTCTAGGATAAACAAAAACAAAAAAAAAAACAAATTCCAGCTAGAATTCTTTGCAGTAGTCCAAAAAATCAGTGTAGCCAACAACACATGAAACCATCACTATTTGCCGTAATTCTATTGTTGGCAACTTCTTCACCAACAATATTGGAAGTTAGAAACAACTTGGTGTCTTGATGGAATTTTTGAATAATTTTGGTATTATAAGATATGCTTTCTGAGGCTGATAAGAAGGGTCTGGATCCATAAAACAAAGCATGTTGGAAGCTAACATGGAAGATCTTTACATTCATGAATGCTGGTTGCTTGTTTTAAGGGCACATTGTTTCTTGCAATTTCAGTTAATTTGTAACCTATTTTTCTTACAGATTGCATGTGCTTCAATTTGACCTTTTTGTACACGACCCAATGAAATGTTTGTTGCTCGATCCATTGGCGAATAGTATCCTAAGATATTAACCTGACCAATGAACTAATTGTGAATTTTTCTTTCTCAAAATAATTGTCTCGATAAAGTTATTATTTTACGGTTCATCAGATATCCAGTTATTTGAAAGAAGTTAGTGGATGTTATCATAGTTGTGCTCTATGTAGTTTGTGTAGCAACGTTATGAGACCAGGTAGCTGAATTCTGGCAGTTAAGCTACGCAATCAGATACGTCAAACTGTTGTTTCACGTATCCTTTGGTTTGGGGCTATATCAGCAAATTAATCAACTAGATAACTATTTAGCTGGAAAAGAATATATACTATTTTTTTGTTTTGTTACAATGTAAAAGAATATATCAAAATCACTTGAGGCTTAGTAGGTTATAGGAAGCATACGTAGGTAGTATTATTTTGTAGGTTTAATTTGGGGCTCAAGACCAATCAAATTCAAGTCGGATTTCTTGGAGCTGAGTAATCTGATTGTGATAAGTACGCAATCTTATGCCGCTTTTTAAAGTTTTTGCCCAGCTTTCTTTCCTCCTTCAAAATATATTTTCTATCTATTCAATGTAAGAGTCTTATTTACTATTTCTCTGTTGTCTGTTCCAAAAAGGAAAAAAAAAAAATACAGTAAACATATAGTTTTGAGATTTGTATTAATCTTAGTACAAATTTGAAAACTGAATTTGAATTTGTTTTTTAGTTGCGAGGGAATACATATATTAGATTAAAATAATATTTCAAGTCTTATTTCGAGATAGATGAAATATTAACAAATTTGGTCAACTGCATGCGTGAAGCTAATAGAAAAAGAATGTTAATTAACTCGTAAATTGCATAACTTAATGAGTCTAAGTATTAAGTTATGTAATGTTAATTTTCATCGCTCGTATACATGTATATATATATATATATATTTTGTTAGTTGGGTAGATTTCCGTTATCCCTTATTTTATGAACAGATTATGTTGAACTGTATCATCTTGTTCATCTAATTAATAATCAGTTCATATTGGATTCTACCATTTTTTGCTAAGCGAAAAGTTGATAGTGTGCCAATAATCGAGTTTAGAGCATCTATACCAATGCGACAGATAAAAGAAACAGTAGTATATTTGAATTCCGGGAATTCACTACAATTTGACATAAAAAAAGGCGAATAGCTAAAATAGGGGTTATAGGTCTTCTATAAGATGGAAGCAGTGGCCAGATTTCTTACCAACAAACTGGAAGAAATTAAGGAAATGAAGAGCGTGCACATCAAGAATTGTCCTCCTCCTTTTCTGGAGTTTGATTGGGCAGCTAGTTGCGGTTTTGAAGCCATAACTGTCCACATTTACCGAAACTGTTTTGATTAGTTCTGTACAGTTAACGTTAGTTATTTGGATCAGTCGGAGAAACACACATATTCAAAAAAACAAAGAAAAAAGAAAATAATAATGGTAGAGCCAGCGAGGAAAAAAAAAAAAACAGAAAAATGACAACAAATTAGGGAATCATATACTCCACACCCGTCACTATTTTTTTCCTGTCTATTTATTTTTCACTGTAAATATCAATTTTTCAAAAGAAATATAGTTAAATTACGTTCTTCATCATTTATCTAAATTATTTTTCACCCAAATCATTCGAGTGTGTTTCATCTTTTGACCAAATGTGAGTTATGATTTGTGAAATCAACTAAACGTGATAAATTTGTCGTATAGCCAATGCCAATCAATAGTTTCATGATGAACGTAAGGACCTAGAAATTAATCTAACATTAATTAGCATATTAAGATATGAAAACACAAATGCGTCACGTGCCTCGGGTACGTACATCAAGTTAATGGTATATATCTTGGTTTCGTGGTTTCATTGTGGATCAATGATCGAAAACAAAGAGCAATCAACGGAGTTTTATGGGGAAGTTTTCTTCCTGTCTCTCAATTAATCTCCATTAGTCCAAATTAATCTGTTTTGGTTTCAGTTCACTATATGAATAAATTATTTTCTCCCACTTCCTCGATCAAGCAACAATTGCAACTTGATTAGCGTAAACTCTTGTATTGAACGAAACTGGCCCATCTAGTAATTAAGTTTCAATTGAAGTTTTGTGATAAGTTGATGAAATGAGAAAAAAGACGAAAAATGTATTTCTAGTAAAATTACGGGAACAATTTAAACATATCCCTTTTACTCTATTAAAGCAGAATATAGGATGTTGATGTGACAATTTCTTATTAAAATTTTTTTGCTCCAAATGCACCATATTGCATAAACCATTCTGACACGTGTCATTCCTTTTTAAAAGAAAAAAAAATTCTTATCCGAAAAAATAAAAACTACTTTACAAAAATAGCTACACAATTTTAACTCTTAACATTTATCATTTATCAATCAAATTAAAATAGCATTTAAATTTACCCATAAACTTATCCCTTTTATTACTCCACAATTTTTTTGTATGATTTCTACATCGTTGTACTTTCAATATTTTTTCTTCTTTGGCAGAAGATTTTTTTATTTTTATTTTTATTTTTGGCTAAAACAGAGAAAAAAATCAAATGTGTAGCTATTTTATTTTTTCCAAATCGAGAATTCATTTATCTATTAACACAAAATTAAAGTAGAGGGGCGCCCGGATACATACATCTAGTTTTCATAGTTAATCTCATAACATTTTAACCACACGATCAAGTTACGTAAAGTATGATGGATGGTTGGATAAATAAATGGCACACGAAAATCTTCCGCTTATCAAAACATGCACTCTCCAAAATTTCAATTTTAGCGTAATTTGTCATCATTCGATCAATAGCACTTTAATAGATGTGATTTATCTACTAACTTACTACTAATTAAGTTTGATTTTCTTCAATCTCTAGCGGGCAAAAAGAGCCCCACCATGTGGACCAGAACAACAGATTCTACCATTTGCATTAAAATACCTTGTTTAAAGAATTCTTTTCACGTTATCCTAAAACAGTTTCTCATGTGACAACTGATCATAAGTACTTCTGCAGCCAGTGATTATTCTTAAAATTTCCTTTTCTTCTTCACCCTTACTTAATTCGTGGTTCCCAATGTTACAGTTTTATTACTAGTTCGTTAAACTGTCACATTATCGATCGATCATAGTATCATACTGGTCAACCCAACCCACCAAACAACAGCCAAGAAATAAAAAAAGGACATCCGAAATAATAATAATTCTTTTTCTTTAAAAGAAAGACAAATTCTGCCAAATTTTAATTGCATGCATGGCGTGTTTTGCTCGATTCAAAAACTCCTATAAATACCACCCAAATCCTCCATTTCAAATATCCAAATCCATATTCCTCTTCCTCTCTCCAATAATAACATCAACTAAGTAACTTAGCCCACAAGAAAAGTTCAAGAAAAAATGGCAACCAAAATCACATTTCCTACAATCCAAATACTGATATTATCCATTTTCATCCATTCATCCTTTGCTGCAAAAAAAGGAGGAGGAGGAGGAGGAGCAGTTCCGGTGTACAATGTGCAAAGTTTCGGGGCGAAAGCCAACGGCAAAAGTGATTCCACCCACGCTTTCCTCAGCGCGTGGGCGGCCGCTTGTGCTTCCGTCCAGCCGGCAACGATTTATGTTCCTCCCGGGCGGTATTTGATCGGTGCCGCGGCGTTCTGGGGAACAACTTGCAAGAACAGCGGCATAACTTTGCGCATCGACGGAACCCTAGTGGCCCCGTCGGATTACAATGTACTTGGCCGGTCCGGGAGCTGGATCAAGTTTGAGAGGACGGACGGACTTACAATACTTGGAGGAACCCTGGATGGTCAAGGTGCAAGTCTTTGGGCTTGTAAGAACCATGGAAGAAATTGCCCCAAAGGGACACAGGTAACTAATTATTACAAAATTCGCCATAATTTTTTTTTGTTTTTGTTTTATTTTTTTATTATTTTAGATTTTGACCTACCATATCCTCTCTATATCTTTATTCTATAGAGAGCTAAACCTTTTAAATAGTCCCATAACTATTCGTCTAGTCGAAAAGCATAATTTACTTGCTTGATGATGACGCATGTGTTGAAAATAATTACTGAACAGTTCAAATTTTAAAACTCAATTTGATTTTTTTTTTCGGACAGGATGTGTAATTCTTTTTCTTCAGCCATTTTCTTGATTGGCCTAATCTACTTTTTTTTTTTTGTTTTGGTGGAACAGTCACTGGGAGTTTACAATTCGAACAATGTGATGGTGAATGGATTAACTTCACTAGACCCTCAATTTTTCCACATTATAATTGATGGGTGTCACAACATCAAGCTACTGGGAATGACAATTTCAGCAGCAGCTGATAGCCCAAACACAGATGGAATCCATGTCCAATCATCATCTGGAGTTACTATAAAAAATGCCCAAATTAGAACTGGAGATGACTGTATTTCTCTGGGCCCAGGATCCACTAATGTTTGGGCTGAAAACATTGGCTGCGGCCCCGGCCATGGAATAAGGTACTATTACTCAATGTTTATTTAAAATTTCGGGAAAAAATAATTCTACATAGGTTCTTACGGGAATTTTCTTTTTTTTTTTTCTTTTGTTCTTTTTCACCAGCATTGGGAGTTTGGGGTCAAATTTGAACGAACCAGGAGTCCAGAACGTGACGGTTAAATCAGTTACATTTACCGGAACAGAAAATGGTGTGAGGATAAAAACATGGGCTAAACAGAGCAACGGATTCGTCAGAGGAGTACTATTCCAACATGCCACAATGAATAACGTCCAAAATCCAATCATCATTGATCAAAACTACTGCCCCAACGGGGACGGAAAATGTTCCGGTCAAGTAAGTAATAAATATTAGCTCAATACACATATAATAATCCATAAAGTATTAATATTTTAAAAAATGAGATAGTGACTAATGGAATAATTTACGATTTCAGTCATCGGGAGTAAAAATCAGTGGGGTGACGTACCAAGATATTCACGGAACGTCGGCAACACAAGTGGCAGTGAATTTTGACTGCAGTAAAAAGTACCCATGCAGTGGAATTACTCTTCAAGATGTGCATCTTTCTTACCAAAATCGTCCTGCCACATCTTCGTGTTCCAATGCCGGTGGATCGTCAGCTGGTTTAGTGGATCCCAGAAGTTGCTTATAAATGAAGATGATAAGATGCAATTCTAACTAATCAACACTATATATCAAAATACGTGAACTTTATATTTAATTGTTGCTCTACAAGATATAGTGATTATGTTATATTGTCTAAGAGAAGTATAATATTGTTTAAAAAAAAAAAAGGAGGGAAAAAAAATAGATTCTTGCTTGAGCCTGTGGCTTGGATGATGGCTGTTTTGGCGGAGCCTGGCCTTGCGACGAACATTATGTCATTAAGTATTTTCATTAATATCTATATTTATATAGTAAAATTAATGAGCTTTCTGAGTAGATGTTTTCTCATGTTTTTAGTAATTTCTATTAACATTGCAGCGCTCCTTTTAATTTTTACTCGCTGATTGTGTTAACGAGGAAACTATATATTGGGTGTTTTTTTTTTTGGTTGAAAATGATATATTGAGTGTTACTAATTAAACTAAGAAATAATATATTTAACTCTATTAAACTTATCGAAAATTTGCATCTCCATTAAGTACATTTTGGGGGTCCAAATCTTAGAGAAATACTAGACATGCAATGATTTACATTCTGAAGTTCCTTTGTTTTTTTTTAAAAAAGTAATTTTTATAAAGGCTCATGAGAGAAAACAAATAGGATAAAAGGAAAATGTCATTTTTAGCTTTTTTGTGAACAATCTGCTACTGGATATCCGGTATTTCTTGTGTTAGCAACTACAATAAAAAACTTATTCTTTAATTATTGACTAGATGCTTGCCCCGGGCGAATGCCCGGGGTGTCGCATGTATTTTTAAATTGATTAAATAAACAATACGAATCATTTTTAAAAGAATAAAAAAAATTAGAAGAATAAAAAATCGATTGAAAAGACAGAAAGTGAGCTATTACACATAAATCTATGCCCAGATTTACAACATTTAATTTATAATAGTTAACTTATGCCCGAATTTACATAAATTATAAACCAATATCTACAACACAAGAATAAAAAAAATCATCCTTAAAAAATCAAATTTCTTTCATGACAGCTTATTTTTTCTCTGTTGTAGAGAGAGATGGATTGATAATTGATGTCAAAATTTAAGTAATTGATTTAAAGGCCCGGGTGTGAGAGAGGAGCGGAATAGAAGAGATTTTTTTCTTTGAAATTAGGGATTGGGAAGATATTACTGGTATTTCACTTGATTTAAGGGGATTTCCTTACATTTGATTTTATCAACTAAATATTGTTGTTTTAAAGAATTAGTATATACCTATAATTAAGGTATTTTTATGTAGCTATAATGAAGGATTTATGTATTTATCTATTTTATTTTTTTTCTGATTAGTTAGAGTGCCACGTGTCAAAAATAATTTTGTACTGAAAATGACTTTTGGCGGGAAAATTTTCATTGTGGTGCTGACACATGTCCTTTTTGTTTGCTGCTTTAATTAAGTACTATATATGCGGTACGCAGTAATACTTGTAATTTAAAATTTAAACCAACGAGTAAACTTCATGATGTAAGTTGAGAGATACACTCGTAGATAAATTTATTAGAAATGCAAGTGTATTATTCTGTCGAAGAAAACATATATTTCGGTTCTCCTACTACTCCACCTCGTTTAATTTTTTTTCCTCCTTATATTCAAGTTTAATTAAAAAAAGAAGAAGAAGGTATCTAATTTAAGAATGTTATGCCTACTGCGAACGCCATAAGAAAGAAGCTAATTGGAATTATTAGAGAGTAGAGCAAAAGTGGCAGATAGCATCATCAAGCTTGTTTGTTACATTTGTTTTTTGTTTTTTGTTTTTTGTTTTTTAATTTTTGTTTTGTTTTGTTTTGTTTTGTTTTTTTTTTGGGGAAAAAACCTGTGACATTTGCTAACAATGATAGATGCTGATGGCAGATGTCATCTGAATTAAAAGTTGCTGATCAGTGGCACGTATGTTGTCGTTGCTATCTTGTGAATTTCCATTTTTACCACAAAACAGTGTCTTTTCTTTATACTTGCACAATCAATAGAAGAGAATGTGAGAATATGATCCTAATCAGGCGATACGATTTCAAGTCAGACTTTTTTAAAGATTCAGAAATCCAAATTAACTTGTTTAGAGTGTGGGAATTGATAGGTGCATAATTGCCTCCTTTGTCGTGAAGAAAAAAGATAATAAAAAATTACTCCTCTATCTTGAAATTATTATGCACTTTAAATTTTTATTTTCAGTTTAAATTGTACTAAGAATACAATTTTAAACTGAACAATAAAAATAAAACAGAGGGATTACATAATTTTTATCAAGAAAATTTTTTTTTTTAAAGGGTTGAAATGCAACAACATAATCAAAGCACAAACTGACAGAGACCCTGAATGTGGATGGATATAAAAACAATCACTTGTTCAACATTCGATGATCAGCCCCCGAATCTATCCATCTAATACATCAGAATCCAGTGATCCAAATTCAACTCGACGGGAGTCTTCAGCGTTTATAAAACAACCAACGTTAACGATGACACAAATGCAAATATTAAATTGTGATACGAACTCAACAAATATTATTCCTCTATTCTAAAAACATACTAATTTACATTGAGTTTTGATATCTATAATAAAAACTGTATAATTTCAAAACTCAATATGAACTATTATCTGGAAAGGGGAGTAATATGTATACCGTCCGCGGAGTTATCTGGATCGTCTTGGACAGTTATGGATCCGAGCTAGGTACATTTTTTAGATGTACATTGCCCATGTCGAAAAGTGAAATTTGGTTGAGGAACGTCGCGGCAATCTGCCGAAGTCTGACATGGCGAGCCCGGCCAAAAACAACACCGAAAACGGTGGAGAGTGTCACTCAGTTGACAACACAATCCGCTGCAAGACTTGGTAAATGAATCGCATGCAGCTCCAAGAGCCATGCAAGTAGGCGGAGGCGGCGGAGGAGGTGGTGGAGCCGGTAAGCAAGGCGGTGGTGGGGGAGTCAGAGGAGGATCGCATCCAACCGGCGGCCAACTCCATTTCCAATTAAAATGCCAACCAAAAACAAACAGCTTAGTTGTTCTAGGCGAATCAGGCGGGATTACGTTTTCACGATCAACGGCGGCAACCGAAGATGCCGATGCAATAGTTGACACAAGTAGCACTGCATGGAATCAATATTCATTCAATCATCAATCTAGTGTTAGTATAACCAATACAAAATTTGCAACCGGAACAGTATTTTTTGAACAGAAGAAATATGTAATAATACTAATTAATTAAGACGGATAACTAGCTGGTTAAATAACACTCTCTCGATTCTAATTATAAGGTATAAATTTAAACTAAAAATTAGTTCAAATTTGTACATTATAATTATGAGAAAATTAGTTTAACTTTGTGCCTTGTAATTAAGACGAGAGGAAGTACAAAATTACGATCCAACATTTGTTAGTTATTCGTTGTTGGACGTCCTCCAACCCTTTTAATATATCTCACTTTTATTTTATTTTTTTTTATTTTTTATTTTTAAAAAGAAGACAAAATTAACTATTGAGAGAGACTTACAAGAAAGCACTGCCGCTAAAACAAACGGCTGAGAACCACAAGCGGCCTTCTTCTTCATTTTGTAGAGAAAAGAAACTTAAAAGATTTAAGCACTTGTTTGAAGAATAATAGGTACATTTTTTTCATAGCATCTTTGGGCTCAATTTATAGGGGTCTCAACTCCATCGGTTGTTGAAAATTTATTCTTACATTCGTGCACGACTTTGCACTTCCTTTTTATTTGGAATATACATAATATGTATTCATAACGATAGTATCTTTATTAAACAAAAGAAATTCTTTGTCAAACAAAGCTGTCGATCACTTGCCCAAAAATGAACGACTCTTCTGTAATTCTTAATCCCCTCATCGTTGACGATGTGCTTTTTTAATTTTATTTTTCTCCCATGATCCCTATTTTCTATCAATAATCAAAATTAAGACACCTCAACCGAAAAACCTTTCTTTTGACTTTTTTTTTAATCTATAGTACTTACTTAAAACAATAAACACTAAGGACACGTGTCGGCATCAGAATGAAAATTTTCTCTTCAAACGTTTACAGATGTTTACAGGACAAATCCGAAGCAAGGAAAATGAGAAACGTGGCTTCTCCTAGGCATAGCAAATTTTAGCCCAAACAGAAAGCCTATTTTTCAGAATCCTACTTTTAAATAACCGAAAATTAAAAAATAAATAATCCCCCAATTTCGGAGAGATAACAGACTCTTCAGTTAGTCAATCCCAGTTGAACTCCTTAATTTTAGTACCATGATTTATCAACAATGTATCATCCCCCAATTTCAGCAATTTAAATTAACGTGAAGAGGCACCTATTATCTTCCCGATCACATTAAACCTACAATCTTTCCATTGCATCCGGTAAATCAAAATACAAAACTCTCCTTTTCACCTAATGATGATTCTTCCCAACATCGTTCAAGACTCCATAATTTTCTCTCCCCTTTTTTTTCACGCTCCGACTAGCCATTCGAGATGCTAGAGCTAGCGTGCCACCTTGAGTTTCCTCCGGCAGCTCCTCTTATCTCTGTTTGGGGTAACAATTCCGTTGAAGGAGACAAGCGACAGTGTTGAATATGGAGTCGACTGCTTTGATAAGAAGCTTTCAAATCCCATTTCTGATCTTCTCCGATGAAGACAAAAGGGGGGAGAGGAACTGTCCAAGTCGGCTTGAATAATTTGGGCATCATGGTAAGATCTCTGTCATTTTCATCCACCATCTCTATTTGTTAATTTACAGATATGTTATTGATGGGGTTTGTGGTTCGTTCTGTATTTTGCACGGGAAGAACCAGTAAGAAGCTGCCTTTCCGATTCTTTTGATTCAGGTGTATTATATTCTTTCCATTTTCTGGCTTTGTTTCGATAGCATAAGAACTACTTGATTGTTATTCTCTTATAAAGTTCCTATCTTTATTGATGTATACAATATGCATAGCTTTTTTGGGCATGAATTTTTCCTTCCCAGCGTTTTTTTAATCAATTTTTGAAGTTTTTTTTCATTTTTGTAGCTCATTTAAGAAGTTAAACTAAGCAGTTTTATTCATCTTTGCCAATTTCATTTAATCTTATTTGCAATTTTGATTTCTTTATTCCCAGGAGAAGGTTAGGGGGCCAGGTTTACTCGAACAAAATAGCCATGAGTATGTCACAGATAGAACAGTAAAAGATCTCAGTTTACATACATAAAGTAATTGTAGGTTTCTTTGCAATAATTATGTTACTACTTTTTTTTTTTGAGTTGATTGGTTGAGCTTCCTCCTTTCAGGTTTATTAGTTCTAGATTAGTGGATCTGCAAAAAAGATAATCATTCATGGATCATAAGGATTGGTACGATTTTCTTGATGACTCCTAAGCAGTTTATGGTGTTGAAATG